CCTGATGCTGTGCCCATACCCCCTGTTGCTCCCCTCTGTCTCACCAAGCGGGTCCTCCCATTCATTTGACTCATTTGAATTCCAACATGGGAGACCTCTGATGAGCCGGGTGAACTGTTACACTACACGACGAGACTGCTAATTAATCACAGCGACTGTACACATGGCCTCTGTGGTGTTGACTTATGAACAGAAATCTGACAATTTTTATCTAATGAGATGCATGCACCTGTCCACAGCCAGTAAATGCTGAAAGCAAAGCGTGCAGAAATACATCAGAGGGTTGGATTGCATTGCCATCTTATTGTGGGTGTACATATTATTACATAGGAGTTGAGCTTGAAAAGCTGTATGCACAGAGCAGAGACAGTAACAAACACAAAACTTTTTTGCTAGCAGCCCCATAACTCCAGTTTGTGTTTGTGTATTTCATTTCTCATCAGTATCCTCCATAGTTTTTAACTGTACTCAGCCCCCCTTGAAAATAACAATGGGACTGACTTGATTAAAGAAAGAGAGGGATAATCCAGAAAGCATTTTTTTTTTACCTGTTGACATTTTAACTATGTTTAATAGTTGTTATGTTTCCAAACCTCTCAGCCTTATTTGTACCATGAGTACAAAAAATATTAAGAATAATGCATCTATATTGATGTCATTTTTCATTGTATTGCATTTTCATGCATAATAACAATTTTCTATTTTCCTTGTGTTGTACAAAATGTGCAAAGTGGTGTAACCAATAGTGTCATCACTTGTTAAATGAACTGGGTTTTTGAAAGATTGCCAGAAAAACAGGCGTAGCTATGTGACACAACTGTAATGATAATCGATGAGAGGTACAGACTGGGGCGAACAGCTTCCCTATCTCACTGACTACCAGCTCTCATCTCATCTGTCCTTGTTAACCATGGAGGTTTCCTGGACATTAAATGACTTCCTGTGATCACTTCCTCCACCTGCAGAGTTTCTCCCCGGTGATTTAAGCCACTCTGGCACTTCTCCCGCCTCTGTCCTTGTTCCCAAACAGCAGGGGACCTCCCTTTCTGCCCTTGGGACTTCCGTCCCTCCTTCATTTCTTCCCTCACTCCCTGATCCCCTCGCCTTCCTCCTCTCCTTCTCTCTCATCGTCATTGTGTGCCCTGTTCTCTTGGCTTACCCTTTTTTCACTTTAATGCTTTGCTCCTTCGTCTTTCTGACTGTCCTGCTTTCTCTCTCTCTTGTTCTTTTTCTACACTCACACACACTCTCTTCTCCCTCCCTCCCTCCCTCCCTCCTCTTCCACATCATCTCACCCCATCTCCCAGTTCACCACTGCAGAGCCCAGAGTCTGGCCTCGCTTCCTCTGTCTGCGTGTGAACTGTGTGTGCAGTGTTGGGATCCTGCCACTAAGGTTACAGGAGGCATGCAGGAGATGATTAAGCACTTCAAAAGATGCACAGGTGTGAGGACTATCCAACACCAGCAGATGCAATGACACATATACACACACACACACACACACACACACACACACACACACACACACACACACACACACACACACGTTGCATTAATCTGAGAGCTCCCCAGCTTGTGTTTGCGGTCCCAGCCAAATGTGGTGCTCCTTTGATGGTCCCTCAGGCACCAGGCAAGATCTTGACATTACAAATATTACACCTAAATGCTCATCACCTTGGGCAGTGTAGCATGCACGCACACACACACACACACGCACACACACACACACACACACACAGAAGAACAGAGGTGCAGATACACTGCAACCAAGCACACACAATCATTAGCTCATTTTTTCTCTCATTACTTCTCCACCATTGTTGTAGAACCTTTAAACTGTTTTTAATTTTCTTTTCTTTTTATTGTTTGTAATCCATTGTGTCCCGTCTTGTAAAGCACTTAGTAACTGTGTTTTGAAAGGTGCTATACAAATAAGGTTTATTATTGTCATTATTCTCATGAAGTCACACAGATACATACCTATTTAAATATGCATCCATCTACATATATATACACGCACATACACGCACATACACACACACACACACACACACACACACACACACACACACACACACACACACACACAAAAACAAACAACTGCTGAAAAATAACCATTGAGCTTATAAATTCCGGAGTATGTGTTTGTGAAAGTCGGCATGAAACATCAGGAATAAAGGGAATACACACTCTTGGCTGCCACAATTGGAGTAATGGCTCTCATTATGCTTTTCCATACAAAATAACTTAATTGCAGTTTGTTTACACATGTGGTAAGGCTCCTTCTCATGTACTTCAGACCATGTGCATGCATTGTCAGAAGGTATAAAATAGTCTATTAAAGAAAAAAATGGTCTCTCTTAGTTTATGACTCACGAGAGCCTTACAAAAGAGCTTTTATTATGAAGACTATCTTGCTTACTGTCATCCACCTAGCCCAGAAACATAATAAACCGGCCTGCGTGTGACAGTGCACTCTCTCAGCTTGGATCATGTGTGTCGTTTTCACGAGCATAAACTGAAATGATGCTCAGCTGTGAAAAAACATATAAAACTCACTTGTCATCGTCAGCACTCATCAAAATCAAATGTGACATTAAAGGATTGTTTTTGCATGTGTTGTGGGCGATGTCAGTCGCTGCTGCATTAGTAAAGTCCATATGCTTTGGGTATGTGTTTCCACAAAACTTCAAAAAACAATCGCACATACCAATATTGTTAAAGGTTTTCATTGGTTTTTAATTAAATTCTGAAATTCTGTTGTGTAGCCTCAGTTTCAGATGACTTTGGGTAGTTTTAACTGAGCTGTGCTTTAGTACAGTCGCTAACAGCTGTCGAATTCCTTGTCTTGTTTCCTGTGTCTGTTTGGTTTAAGTATTTGATTTTCGTTGTGATTTCCCTCAAATAAAATGTTTTCACATGCTTTGCTTTAAAGTATCATATCCTTGAGACACACGCGCACACACACACCTTACAAATCATCACCCCACACATCCAGCGAGACAGCCAAGCGCTCCAGCCCACATGGAACTGATCACAATTCAACAAACACAGTGCAAATAGCAACTCACACACCATAAACAGATCAAATATTGCTAGCACACATAGAAAACAAATGGTACTCTCAGCACTTTAGACCAAATGCTTCACTTCATTTGCCAGTTTGCCAGTGGTGTGTGACACAGGTTCGGCTTGATGAGGTTGTTTGTTTCATGCAGCTTTAAAGTTTGAAAGAGGAGAACAAGTTGGAGATGGCTCTTTCTTCTCTGATATGTTTGATGTACTTCTCCAGCATGGCCAGTGGTTTTAGCTGAACCAGCTGACCTGCACAGTGATTAAGTGTTCAGTGTTCTCCAGTTCTTACCTTCCTCTCTGCAGCAAGCAGTGCCATTCATGAATCCAAGTCCATGGGGGTAAAAACAGATACAGGTACTGCCAACAGAAAAGAGTGAGAGAGTCCAATGATGAAAGTGTAAAAATAATTAAAAGTATAATAATCCACAAAAAATGCTCAAAACAAGGATGGTATCTCCTATTGCTCTAAAATCAGGTCTTTAGTTATTTAACACGACACTTGGTCTTATGTTCTACATAGAAATGACTAAAAATAAGTCTATAGCCATACTATCAGTTCAGTGGCTGTGTCAGAAATCCCTTCACTGTCGTATAGTGCGCTATATTCACCTCCAATCATTTCATTGGAATGTCAGAATACTGAGTTTGAAATTCATCAAATATATAGTGCCCTCAATGCAATTTTATTGATACGCAGAACTCTGCCAGTCTACAGCTCCACAGCTGTCAGTGATGATGCAAAATGGAAATGAACTGACCTGCCTTCAACTCTGGTATTTAAAATGTCGAGCAGATGAATGGGAGCTTATTCCTGTAGGTATAAGTTCACTATCCTGTGAAAAGCCATCCCAGAAGATATTAATATTAATACCTATGGTTTTGGTATGAGATGTTTAACAAGCACACACGGCTGCAGTGTTCACATACTTTGTCTAGGCAGTCATAAAAGTGCATATTGGGCCTTTTAAGACTGAGACAGTAGAGTGAGAATGTTTGTATTTTATTTTATGTTTAGATATATTTATATTTATAGAGAGATAGATCCCTATGGGACACTGACACATATAGATATAGAGATACCATAGGGATCTCTATATCTATAAGTGTTGGTGTTACATAAATATTCAAGGAGGGATATAAAAAATAAAACTATAAAAACTAAATAAATAATCAAGTGCCAATATGCATAGAAAATGCTATTTATCACATTGATTCAACAAGTTAATACAATTCAAATTTAACCATGCTTCATTTAGTCATGTTTTTTTGGTTATGTCCCTGTGAGCACAATAATACATAGCCTGTTAATTCGAATATTATTTCATTTTCATTAATTTATTCAGGGACAGCGCACATTAATCATCATTACTGTAAATGTGCCAGTGTTAGCCCGCTAGCGAATTTGCAGTCCTCAGGCGAAATGTTCTTTGAAACCTATGGAAATACAAGTCATGACCATGCACGCAAGGTTGATAAAGAAATTATAGGGGGAGGATTAAAATCACTGATCACATTACATTTAAGTAAAAAAGGAAAGTCATTCTATAAAAATAAAAAAAAATCATATTCCCATACAATATTGATAAACTCAGTGGTTCCAAAGAGTGAAGTCTCTTTGTTGTCCACAAGAGGGCGCCGTGATATTATGAACCTATAAACAATCACAGGAGGCGATGTGTGTTTCCATCGCCTTCTGCTCCTCATTCTCTGACAACTAGCGTGAAACCACATTGACGGTGTGATTAAAGTGTTAAACAAACCGATATCACAATATTTCACAGTAGAGACTGAACTTTTTCGACTTTCTACTCTTACTGCCTTTTATTTCCGCATTGTAGGTGGAGACTCTTGTGGGACAGACCTGCTGTGTTACGTTGGGGAAGTTGCACAATTTCGGAAAAGACACATTTCAATGGTGTGTGAGCGAAATATTAGTGTTTCCGCATTTATGGGTGCAGTTCCTGGAGGATAATACACATCTGTAGCGGCTCTGTAAGTTGTACAGCATGTCAGTGTAACTGTCAGATAAACTTCACACTCGAGTGTTGCCAGTAATTTCTCGTACAATGAGTAATTCAGTAACTTCGGCTACTTACATTCGCAACCTCAGTTACAGTTTACGTCGCAGGTTGTCGGATTTTTTGGACCCTCAAGACAAGTGGAAAGATGTTATTGTCTCGATACGGAAGCCGAGTGGGGAGCCGAGGTACTCACTGCATCATGTGAGGTACGTTTTTATAGGCCTAGCAGGTAACAGCAAAACTGATGTAGCCACTGAATCTGTCAGAGTAGGCCTAACACCTGCTTTAACGTGCTTTAACACCCTATCTATCTATCTATCTATCTATCTATCTACTTTATCTATCTATCTATCTATCTATCCATCTATCCATCCATCCATCCGTCTATCCGTCTATCCATCTATCTATCTATCTATCTATCTATCTATCTATCTATCTATCTATCTATCTATCCATCCATCCATCTATCTATCTATCTATCTATCTATCTATCTATCAATCTATCCATCCATCCATCTATCTATCTATCTATCTATCAATCTATCTATCTATCTATCTATCTATCTATCTATCTATCTATCTATCTATCTATCTATCCATCCATCTATCCATCCATCTATCTATCTATCTATCTATCTATCTATCTATCTATCTCAGGAGGTTTGAAGGCCTTGTTGCACAGGGGAGGAGTCCCACAGTTGAGCTGCTGAATGACTGGGGGACCACCAACAGTACAGTGGGTGAACTTGTGGACATTTTGAAGCATCGCAAGTTACTGGCTGCTGCTAGTGTCCTGTTACCTGGTATGATTTTCAAAACCACCTTTTATCACACTGCATAATAAGCCTATTTCACTTATCTACAGTCACTGCTAATCATATGTATTATTAAACAGCATCATCCAATTCTTGAAACATCTTTTTCAGTGTCCCAGGTTTAAAAAAAAATTTGGTCAGAAAATAAGTTACATCAGTCTAAATAGTTCAGTACATAAACTTGCCCAGACTTGGATAATGAGGTGCCAAACTATAACAGCAAGGGACAGTTAAAGTAAAGAGGTTGCTAGAACGTAACCACGACTAATGTCAATAATTTTGATAAGTTCCAGTGGAAAAACAATGGAAAAAAATGCAGATCCTGACCAGCATATATCGAATTTAATAATGAATTTTATTTTTGTTCCATACCAGTGGCCTTTCTGCATGCGATTGCATGGCATACAATAATAATACCACATGCTTTCAGCATTTGACATTTGTGTTCTAAAGAAAGTCAAGTAAGTGCTGCACATCCTATGCATGTTCTAAAACAGATGAAAAAAGGAAATGTTTTATATATGCACATAATATAAATCTACAACATAAAAGCCACTATACAGCACATTTGTTTTTGTGTGTTGTCTAATCTTAAAGTCTTTCACAAAATTTATGGTTTTAATTATATTAAAAATGTCTTTCTCCACTCAGTATATTGAAGACAGTATAAAACAGACTTTATGTTTACGTTCATTATGTATTTCTTTCAGCTCGCAAAATGGATGTGGACTGTGTAAACAATAAAAAACATGCTTTTGATTTGTGTATCATATTTTTATGTCTTTTTTATTTTAACCACACAGTGGAAGAGGCCCCCTCAGAGGCAGAGGCACAGCCAGTCTCTCCAGTAGTAGAAAGAGACAGTGAGCGTCCTACCAGGCTACTGACAGAGAGCGAGACACAGCCGCTGCCTGTCAGCTACACTCTGCAGCCACAGACTCTACAGGAGAGCAGTGAACCAGGACAAACAGGTGGCTGCACCTTCAAATCACAGTTAAACCACACATTGAGATGATTTTTTGGGCTGTGTTAACACAGCGCATTTGTAATCTGTACATGAGAGAAGGTTGTGAAGCGTATGGCATTAAACGACAGTCATAGTCAGTTGAAAACCTTAACATCAGTTTGAATTGTTTAAGCATGTTAATTAAAATATTATATTCAACTTCTATGAGGACGTTCCACAACATTTGAGTCGATTTAAACATTTGCTAAAGCACTTCTACACAGGCCGCCGTGGAAGAAGTATTCAGATCTTTTACTGAAGTAAAAGATGCAATTCCAAAATGTAAAAATACTTAATACAGATAAAGGTCCTGCATTCAAAATCCAAAAGTAACAGTACAGAAGAATTATCAGCAAAATGTCAAAAGTCAAAGTACTTCAGCAACTTTGCTGGTGGGGGTGAAGCTAATTGTAAATACTTTATATATTTTTGGTTTGTATAATCTGTCATAATGCATCATATTTTATTAACTACTACTATGTTTCATTGTGTAAAGTCTTAATCTGCAAAGTAACCTGTAAATATAATAGTCAAAATAATGTCAAGGAGTATTTGGGTGAAGTAGAGGTATAAAGCAACATAAATTGGAAATACTACATGAAAAGGTACCTTATAATTGTATTATAACACAGTGGTTGAGTAAATGTAATTAGTTACATCCCACCACTATAAACAAGGCTGTTTTATTTCAGTTCCTCGAAATGTAAAACTACCTGGTTCTGCTTCTATGAAAAATATGTGATTTTACATAAATGGCCAGCAGGTGGCAGGAGTGGGGCCTTAACCACAGAAGTTAACATGACAGTTTTGTGTGTGTCCCTCATCAGGTTTCTCCAGTTTCATGTACCATGACCTGATGGAGATTACCGGCAACTTTGATGACCGTCCCATGTCAGACGGAGGCAGCAGACTTGGAGAGGGAGGCTTTGGCACTGTATACAAAGGTCTCCTGAATGACACACCTGTTGCAGTGAAAAAGCTCAACCCAGTGAGTGAAAATATTTTTCATACCAAGCTCAAACCTTTGTAGATAATCTGTGTAAATCACAACGCGAAATATGATCTCGTTTAGATGGAGGACGTTTCACCGGACGAGCTGCATGTTCAGTTCTATCAAGAGATCCAAACTCTGAAAGTGTAAGTTTCGTCTTCTGTCTATATCCTTGTTAATCAGTTTGATTTAAAGTGACTCACTGACACCTCATAAACATGACAATTTATTAGCTAGAGGAGACAAGCTGTTTCTGAAGCAGGCATCTTACTCATAGTAATGGAACTTGAGAGAGTGAAAGGATTAATAGTTTTGGGAAAAGCCTGAGTCATGCATCAAATACACTAGTCTCAGATTTAATGGATGCTTACACCCAATCATTCTCATTACTATGATTAATTAGAAAGTAAATGTTTGAAACAGATTTCTTTTTGTGAGATTGGTAGAGTTTTGGGAAACAGCGAGAATATGTAGCTTTCACAAATCAGTCCACTCAGGGATTTTGCTGCTACAGCCGTACACAGTCTGGTATGACCAGTGGCTCGCAGTGGCATGCTGATATTGCTGTCACTGACAATAAGTCAGATCACTCTTTTTTCCACTTGCAACCGTTCCAACAGGTTGTAGCATTTAGCATTATCCCATGTCACTTGTGTGCCAATATTGGTCACTATTCAGTAAATCTACATGGGGAAACAGCCAGCCTGCCTCTGTCCACAGGTAACAAAATCCATCTAGTAGCACCACTAAAGTTTGTTTTTTGTAAGGATCAAACAAAAGAAGTAAAACATGTTAATTAGTGAGCTTTAGACGTGCTGCTGGGAAGATTTTGTTACCTTAAATGGGCCGGCCCAGCTGTTTTCCCTTGTTTCCAGTCTTTATGCTAAGCTAAGCTAACTGTCTCTTGGCTGCAGTTACATATGTAGCATGCAGGCATGAGAGTGGTATCAATTTTGTCATCTAACTCTCAGCACAGAAAGTGAATATGCACATTTCCCAAAATGTAGAACTATTTCTTTCCACCCAACCTGCTGCGGGTTATCATAATGACTCATATATTCATAACTGTTTGTTTCACAGGTTGAAACATGAGAACTTGGTTGACATGGTTGGATTTTCCTGTGATGGGCAGCACCCATGTTTGGTGTATGCCTTTATGGCCAATGGTTCTTTGCTAGACCGACTGGCTTGCTTGGTAAACACCATCTACACTCTACCTACTTTGCTCTTCTAGTACATGAGCTTTCACACCGATAGTTCAGCTCTATGCTTTCTGTCCTTTCAGGATGATAGTCCCCCACTGTCCTGGAGACAGAGATGCTTGATAGCTGAGGGGACAGCACGAGGCCTGGAGTATCTGCACAGCAACCATCATATCCACAGAGATGTTAAAAGGTACATTAAGTGATGTCTTTCCTCTTTTTCAGTGCCCTGTAAATGACCTTTTCTTAAGGGAATAGTTAGACATTTTGGTAAACACTCTCATTCACTTTGTTGCAGAAAGTTAGATGAGAAGATTGATACCACTTTCACATATGACACTAAAGCTAGTTAGGCTAATAAGCCTAGCTTAGCATAAAGACTGAAAACAGTGTTGTCGTTGTTCATTGCTGTTTTTACAGCTCTGCTTTTGTGCAGATTAAACAGAGTTAAACAGAGATGTGTTCATTTAGTTTAAAATTGCTCATAATGTTTTTTTTTTTTTCCTGTTAGTGCAAATATCCTGTTAGATGAAAAACTTGTGGCAAAGATCTCAGACTTCGGGCTGACGAGAGCGTCGGCCAAACGGACGTCAACAACCATGATGACAGAGAGGATTGTGGGCACCCGTGCATACATGGCACCCGAGGCCCTCAGAGGAGAGATCACACCAAAATCTGATGTCTTCAGCTTTGGAGTGGTGGGTTTTCTGCAGACACACACACGCACACCGGACACATGCACGTGCACACACACACACACACACACACACAGATAGGGATATTATGTCAGGAAAGGAGAAACTGCCAGTGTAATGTAAATATATAGAAGACAGCTCAGCAGAGTGCAAAGTTCTCCTAAACTACTGACACACACATAATTGCAGAACACAAACATTAGAGTATACATTTCTTCTCATTTGTGAAAATAGAGCTCTGTTTTATGTATCATCTGTCATTATTTTATAACAAAAATTTTAAATCAGTTTAAGGGCACAGCTGTACCACAGTAGTAGCTATAAATATAAAACCCATTATCCATTGTTTGACATTGGCTGAATGATTTATAGGGTCAGCGCTGTATAAAACTGCCTGACCTTCAATATAGTACAGTACAGCTTATATGACTTGTTGGGACAGCTGTGGAAACACTGCAGTGTCTGTGGAGGTACTTGGCACATGTCGAGGTAATAAAGGTTTTCTGACGTCCAGAGCCATGTGATTAACCCCATCTCTCTGACATCTACAGGTGTTGCTAGAAATATTGTCTGGACTCCCGCCAGCCTGTGAAAACCGGGAGCCACAATTCTTGGTAAGCAGCACAAAAGAGGCTTTCACTGTGTGGCGATCAAGTAACAGTTTGCGATTACATCTTATTAAAGACTTAGCATCTAATTAGTAAGGGAGCGTTATCAGTTAGTAGTCATTAAAGGGTAACTGAAACGCATTCGAACCCAAGTTTCATCTGTGCTGAGCATACGCTGAGCAACTTAAAACTGCTGTTCAGACGGTGATACACAAATCCATTTCTTGCACTGTGTATAAAATGGACAAACCAAGAACCTTCAGCATGATGAAAGCAATAATCCTAATTTGAAATCTACGCAACATTTTCTTCAAATTATGGCTTTTAAAGTTTACCGCTGACCTCGGTCACCTATTGTGGGATTTTCCCTCCCTCGCTCCCCCAGATGGAGTTTACGTATGACATAGATGACGAAGACGAGGAGCTGACTCTGGAGGCCTTTCTGGACAAAAAGATGGGAGACTGGGAGCTGAGCCAGGTGGAGACTACTTACTCTTTGGCTTGTAACTGCCTCCATGACAGGAAAAACAGACGGCCAGTCATCAAACAGGTACAGTGAGGAAAGACACTGGCGGATATGAAGATGCATTGTTACAGCTGCTGTGTTAGCATTCGCACCACTTTCAGTACATCACTTTGAGCATGATACCATTAAGCAATTCATTCTTCATAATGCAGTGCTCAAATGCTGATATGTACGTTGCTGTAATCTTTCCTCCCGTGCATAATAGCCATGAATCGATCCTTACCCTGCACACATCTAATGTAAGAGATGGGGGAGAAAGTTCAAGTGGGTGTGTTTTCTGTCATAGAGAGGAGCAAGACTTGATAATAATTCAAATGGGAATAACATGCCTAACTAACACTTACTATAAATTGTTTTCCTACTGCACTGAAGCTTTAGTGATATCCCTCACTTTGGATTAAAGCGTCTGCTAACTGACTAAATGTGAATGTAAAGAACAGCACGCACTTTAAAAACACTCTTTGCTTAAAGGAGTTTATGGTGTTGCACTAATGAAAAGTGAAGTCAGGGTGCTTGTTTCATCATCAATTTGGAAAATTTACACAAATTGTCAGATGCAGCCCTACAGATCAGATATCGGAAAGGTGTGGTGGGAGGGGGTTTCATATGCCGTTTGACCATCTGACAAGCTCTTCATCTGTAAAGCATGCAGACTCATTTACAGCAACTGATGAGTCTTTCAGAAATGTGAAAAAAATGAACCTACTGTTTAAGAGCGCCTCAGTGAATCTTCGGTCAAAAAAAAAAAACATTTGTCCTTTGGTCTTTTTATGAAGTGATCAAACTACAAATATCAATAAAGTGATATTATTATTCAGACTTAAGCGTCTGTGGTGAGGGTCTTTGTATATTCATCAGGACACAAAGAATAGTAACAGGATGAAGTCACAGCCACGTTAGCTGCTCTTGAGGGCTGTACTTAGTCACGGTGCTGCTTTGAGCTAAATGCTAACCTCAGCCTTCTAACATGCTCATAATGACAATGCCAACATGCTGGTGGTTAACAGTTCATGTTAATGTTTACCATGGCTTACCAAGGCTCATGGGAATGTCATTAGTCTCACTGTTATTTGGACATATTTTGATCTGATGATGGTGCTGGAGCAAAAGTTGTAAGAATGCATCCTCTGTGGATCATTGTCTGAAACATGTCATGGCACTCCAAGCTGTTCACATTCAGCTTGGACCAAAAGTAGTGAACTTCTCAAAATAATATTGCCATCCATGCAGCCGCACCTATAGCGTGGCAGAAAGAAAATAAATAAATTTGCTGTGGAACAAACAGTCAAACACTGAAGGAACTAACACACAAAAATATTATATGGGATTTGCTGTAGCCTTGATTAAATGAAATGTTTTTCTGTATCTAATGTAAGGTTCTATTTTGTATATGTAAATGACAAAATACACAAGTTCATGTATTTTTATTTGTAGACTGTCTGTCTTATTAATGTCTGTCTTCACAGGTCCTGTCCGAACTTAAAGGGGTTGTCAAAAGCATATCAGTGGATTTTCAGGCATAGCATCCCAGAGAGGAAACAAGATATCTACACCTGCTCCAATCAATGCGCAGACTGATTGAATATATTTCTGTCAGATAAATTAATGTTGCTTGTTGACTGTGACTGGCCAAAAGGTATTTTTTGGATCAATATCTCTTTCTTTTACCTTATTTTAGATAATTTACTATATTTTTGCTAAGAAGCATGTAGCTCAGGTTTTAGTGTTTCTACCATGTATTTATTGTGAATACAGTAAAAGGAATAAAATGATTCAAACAAAAAATGTGATTTAAATATTTTATTTTTCTTCTTTTAAAAGAAAGATTTGTAAGAAAACATAAGACCAAACATGATTTTCTTTTCTATTATAATGACACTGTATGAATATAAAGGGATTATCCCTTCGAACATGAGGTGAGCTTAGTAGTTTGCCTAATATTAATCAGCAGACCAGTGGATGTGGCAACATTTTGATCAAGGTACTTATAGAACTCCCTTTCCTATCCGGTTGCTTGGCTTTCCCTTTTGTACGGGAATCAGCAATGTTTGAGTAGCTTCCTCTTTGTGAAATCTGAGATGTATTGATGTAATATTTCTGGAAGCCCCTGTTCTTTCCACTGTGATCCTCACCGACACTGACAATCACCAGAACAGACCAGACTGTTTCTTAATCATAGAGCATCACACAGCTACAATATGTACATTTACAGCACTTGCATAGAAAAATAAGTTTCTCAGCAGATGATTTTTTTTTTTCATGTAAACCACAGTTATATCAAAAAAGAAGGAAATTTTCCAATATAAAATGCACTGTTAAAATGAATCAAGAGACACAAGTGGGATCATTATATCTTTTCTGCTTTGGAGCACCTCATTGTGCAAACAGTAGGAGACAAATGTAGAACACATGAAACATGGAAACATTAATGGACACGGACTTAAGGAATGCAAGTTAAGAATTCTAGCATGTGAACTCAAAATGGGGGAATTTCATCATATTGGCGCAAGTTCACAGTCGCACTAACATTTCTCAGAGTTGGCAACGATGTAAAAACCTCAAGTTTGACTTGTTTGGGCGTCTTTGAATCACTGTAAATTCATTTTTGTGAATGTACTAACATACATAAATATGCTTCCATTTGGCGAGCTACAAATGGAAATTCTGAAGTGTGTCATTGCTCAGTTGTCCTTGGCGTGCATAGTTGGGTCTCTGGGTGACATGTGTGGGAATTTGAGGTTGTTGTCTTATTCTTTTAAACAAGCGTGTCAAATATGATCCCTCCCCCCATCACAGGAATGTTCCACTGTGGAACGTGCTCAGGGTGGAGGTGGTGGTCGGAAGCTGAGGTCAGTTTAATCTTCCTCCTCTCCCTCTGCGGGTGGCCGGGTGATGCGGCGGCCACCCCTCTTCCCTGCAGGGCCTTTGGGCTTGGCGAAGGCCTGCTTGTGTGCATGCTGCTTGGGATGCACCTCCTCATACATAAAATCACTGGTCAGTTCGTCCCCGTTTTCAATCTCCAACTGGGAAACACAAAGAAAATTTGAGCTGATGAGCGACACAGCAAAACCAACTTCAACTCACACTCCAAAAGGAATATATCTACTTTTTGGCAGTTATGGGATGTTTTTGATGTCCATCAGTTACAATTATCATTTCAAACTCCGTATGACCCATACTACTCGCATAACCTCATGAATTTACTTGTCAAAAATCATTCTGGAAGCCCCTGAAAACTAAATCTCAATCAACTTCAAAACACAAAGTTGTGATGTTTCTTTGTTATTTCATATTAGACATTTTTGTCTCGTCTGTGTTTTTCTCGCTGGTTTGATGTGAGCAGGAAAAAAATTATACCATAGTCTTTTGTGCATGAATAAACATTGAGCATATTTGAAGAAGTCACACTTCCCAGTGAATCAAATCTGATCAAACTACTTGTTTATAGAATGTCAGAAAACAGTAATAAATCCCCATAATGTGTTCAAATTGCTTGTTTTATTCAACCAACAGTCTTTAACACACAGACACACATCTTCACATTTGAGAAGCTGGAACTAAAATCACAACCTACTATCAAAATGATAAAGATTTATTTTCTCTCAATTGTGGCTTTAGATCAAGCCATACCCACACAGTCGTGACAATGCAGATTAGTTTTGCAGTGTTAACCTCTTAATAATTTACACCTGATGACTTCTTATTTTATCATGAATATTCAAAATTTTGGAGACATAGTCAAGATTTAAATCCAAGTTTTCCAAAGTTTCTGACAAAAAATAATTCAGATTTCCATGCTGTTCACCACATTCTCTTATTATGACAAAATGTTTCTTACCTTTTTCTCAATCTCAATGTGGAGATTGTTTTCCACCATGTCAACCAATGGATTTTTGCAGCTGGAATACAGCATCCTCTCTCGGATGCTACACTTGTACCCAGGCATAGAATAAATGAAGACTGCAAAAGCAAATAGGACAATGAGAGGAGTGGACACAAAGAACCATTCAGAGCAATGAAAAAAAAAAAAAAAAAAAAAAAACTAAACGGAAATGATATGGGATGTGTCAGCTGTGTATAATCACTTGTGGGAATCTACTCACCAGTGGACTCTAAGTAGTCGCCTTCATGGGAATGTTTGTAGAGGAAGAAGTGGTAACGTGCAGAATCTTTAGGGATTCTCATTGGCAGGTCTTTCAGCTCTGTTGGCTCAGTGTTGGACAATCGAATCAGCTCCTGTGCAGCGTCTACTTGCTGTTGAGAAATGCGAAAAAATGTATTTTATTTTTTTAAAGTTACTAACAAGGTTGGTGGCGTGCACTCCTAATCACAAAAGTCCTTGCTTTGAATTCCAGAGCAATTAGGGAAATCTGTGGTGCGAACAGTGAATAGCAAACCATATCCCTTTCATCTCAGGTGTGTCCGAGTAAAAAACATTTACTCAACAGTCGCTGGCGTGCTGCTCTGCAGTCAGCAGGAATACTTCAGTGGATAAATACAACATAACATGCTGCTGTCTTGAAAAGCTTTTAGGCTAACAAACAAAAAGGCAACTGAGACAAGGCCACGAGAGTGACACAATTATTTCTTTGTACTTTGCACTGATCTGATCTTGTGACATGAACCCTTTGAATTTCAATGAGAAGACTCGACACACAAAGGCTTTTTGGGCTAAACGAGCCATTGTGTCAGTCTGTAAACAACTCCTGACCAAAAAACATCTCCAAACAATACAAAGACAAAAGGGCAGAGAATTGATTTGCTCATTCAAATTAGTGGCCTGTCAAAGTTTACCTTCTCACTAATGATTTTAATGATTTTCTCCTAGGAACTCACCAGTTGTACATAGTTAATTTTCTTGTCTCTAAAGCGTTCAAGTGCTGCAACAGCGTCTTTGTGAATAGGGAAAGCCACTCCCTGCAGAGTCTGCTGCTTAGTGTCCACACTGATGTCCGTCTGCACCTGAACACACCACAAACAAAGACACACACACACACAGACACACACAGACACACACAAACCAGAAAAACATGAGGCACTTGACCTTTCTATTCTCCCACCATGGTCACTGTGATACACTGAGTTACAGTTGTGGTAAATAGGTCGTTCATTAAGCTGATCAGTGCATTACTTCAAATAACACATGGTTAGTATTAATATAAATACACTCAAAAATAGAACATATTCTCTCTATATACACATTTATGCAGAAACATGCTCCAAAACAGAGAAAATGCGGTATATAGTACTGCAGTGCAGTTTCTGACATGGTCTCAACTTATTATATTCACAAGACTGTGTCTATATACACACACACACCCAGATGCTTCTATGTCTACATTGTGTTGACATGCTTGTGACATTATGTCATCATGCTGACTATTCCAAGTTATAGATAGAACAACTGACTCCTCAATTCAGCTCTGGTCTTTAAATTCAATCATAGGAGGCAAAAAAACCAATGTTCTTTCCAAGCATTAACAGGTTTCCACTGATGATTATAGTGTCCTAATGACTTGTGATTTACAATAAATGTTCTTTATTTTAGTTATCAGCAAATAAAAAGGCTTACAAGTGCAACAAGCAGCTTGAATGCTAGAGCATGATGATTACAGATGAGGTGGTTGTATCAGAAGTGACAAGGCGCCTCCATGAAAATCACAGAAAACTGGAAACGCTGGGGGATTACACTGATGGATTGCATCTATTTTTAGAGCCTTGTTCCCACAAAATGAAATGCCGTGCAAACATGATTGAGCCTCCGATGTAGCTACCTCGCATACCAAAAAGGATTGTGGGTATTTTTTATCCATCTGCTTAGTAAAAAGGCAGGAAGTCTCCGAGGCACGGCAATGATAAATATTTCAAAGCCTCTTTTTCATCCAGGCTGTACAGATTAATGGTATATTATCTTCCTTCAACAGCTGGTCAAGTGGGACGAGCACAAACCTCACTTCCCATTTGCTCTGCTGCTTTTAATTGACCGTACTTTGGAGAAGGACTGCACAACTCAAAGCACTTCCATATATGGTAAGAAAGACAGTTCTTGTTTATGTGGCAGACTGGGAGGGAAGCAATCAGAACAGGTTGTTTCTCTGAAAAGAACACAAGCCGATTTGGGTTTATTTTATGGGAACGGTCCCTTAAAGTCTGAAAAGTGAAACTTCACACGCTGCTTTTTTAACTTTGCCGTTAACAGTCCTAAAGCCCTTTACGTAAGCAGGGTAAATACTGCCAGCGTCATTAGCAGCATGCAATGGATATCACCTTACAGTATTTCTCTTATCTTATCACTGCAACCGACAAAGAATAGGCACAATGATACAGCTCATATGTGCTCCATGCAAAATCACTGCCTAGTACTTGAAGCTACAGAGCTCTTTCATTTGCATGTATCACTCAACATGGAAATATTAGACATGATCACTCATAAAAAGGGCTCTTCCTTAACTGCTTAGCTGCTCAGGCTGAGCAGGGTTTACACCTGTAAACAAAACTTTTTGTGGCGCTATGAGGGTGAGCTGGACAAGCCTAATAGAGTCATCCTTGCCAACATCCTGCTGCTCTAGTGCATCAGCATCTTTGCACTGTAGTCATACTGCCAGGCAGGCATATGCGCACTTGCACTAGAGCTGACCTTGTGCTGTTTGGAAGGATGCATCGCCGGCCTTCATTGATACTCCACACTGTTTCTGGTGGGATTTACAGCTCACACACACACACACATACATACATGGGAGATGTGATTAGGAGGAATACTGCTGTGAGCCGAGGGAAGCTATTTTTCTCACCCACCGAAGCCTCAATGTGTTAGGGTGACATAGTGACATCGCTTTTCAGAACTGAAACAAAGAAGAAGCCTAAACCACACCCACTTCCAGAGCACTTCAAGCCATACACGCTGTCAACAGGTGATGTTATCTGTGTACACAATCACTGTGAAGTAAGCCATTTTGTCTTAAGATGATCTCAAATGGGAACGACGACCAAGAAATGAAATCTCAACCACTTGTCTGAGTTTGTGTGTTTGCTTGTATGTGTGTATTTTTACCTCGTTTAGTTTAATCTGTCTCAGTTCCTCCTCTGCTGCAGTGAGGGGCAGGGGAGCCGCCTGCGAGGTCAGATATTTCTTGTATCCACTAAGATTCAAATCATCCTGGGGGCCAAAAAAATAAATAAATAATCACAATGACATAGCAAACAGCAATACAAGTTGATACACTAATACATTATTGCTCATATCAGTTGACATAAACATATAAGAGTGAAGCTTAACTTGTTAAAAGTAAAGCTTCTGAAGCTTCGGTGCATAAAAGAGCTTTTCACATCATTTCAAGTATTGTTGTACAATTAATCCAAACCAACCTTTGCGGTAGCGAAAATCTCATCCTTGATGTGCCCGCCTCCAAACTCTTTCTTCAGTGTGGCTCTGGTAGCAGCGTATAACATTTTATGTCGCACCTGTTAAGAATATTAAAAAAATGCGTATTATTTAGAAAGCTTTAAAAAAAAAAAAAAAAAAAAAAAAACCTAAAGAAATGTTTTCTGATGGCCTGTAATTTTGTTAATTTATCTTTTCCTTGGTTATGAGTGTTTATTCATGGTTTCTCGTCACAATAATAAAGAATATCAGAGGATGAAAATTCAAAGTTACAAAGTTTTGGTTTACATTCAAAACACACTGAGTATCATTGAGGTGTAACAAATATATTGCTTTGGTATTCCTATGTTTTTTAGTGTTAATGCCACAGGTAGATTGCAAAAACAAATAAAAAGGGTACACTCTCATAAAATGCTGCATTGCTTCATAGCACTACTAGTGGTGAAAACTCCACAGGGTACCTTTAAATACCCTCTGAAACATGTGATTTTAGGCTATATAAATACAGCTGACTTGACATGCCAAATCAAAAATTAGGCCTCACTTTGCCTGAACCAAATGAAAGCAAAACACACTAAACTGATTCAGTTAAGGCAGCAGCATGCAGTGGTTGTGAAATGATTTTGCAACTTCCAGACAAGCCTCAACCTGAAACTCTGTGCTTTGAGCTGGAGGACGGGAATGTTAAGCTCAGCTATGTCTCTCAGAAAGTGAATTTGAGCTCAGTTCCACCATGCAGTTAGAGCGCTACAACATCCTGCATGGCATTTTATTTTGGCACTGGCCCCTCGTTGCAACATTCCTCTTTCCGCTGCCACAGAAACAACATTTGTATGTCTATTTGTCATGGCTATTTTGAATCGCTGTGAGTCCACATCACAAGTGGTTCATCAAGTTTCAGTGGAACCAAATAACAATGACTTGGGTGACATTGTATGAGTCAAGAACACACCAATAACAAAACACACATTTCCATAACAAGGAACAACACAATGTGATAATCCTGTTTCACCTAAAAGCACTAAGAGGGTGAATTTTAAGTCAGAGCTGAGAAGTTTAACGTGAGCGCCATGTTGTTTGGAAAACACCATAATTTACCTTCATTTAGCTTTCCAAAGGTCTGGTAAGAAATGATGAATGTACTGCTGCCAACAGTTATCCAGGTTTTTCAACAAGTATAAAAAGAACTGCTGCCTTGATGTGGTTAACCCCACCCAACTGACACTCACAGCAGAGGAGGGCAAATACTATGTAGCGTGCACAGCTATTCATTAAAGCCTTACAGTAGAGTGGTCTGGTGACCAGGCCAGGAAGATCCACTCGTAGCCCTGGTTGTTAGTGGAGTCCAGTCGGTACAGAACGTAGCAGGGCACGTCATCCTCCAGGAGTGGCAGCACTAAGGAATCATACTCCTGGTCCCACTTCTTCGATGCTTTCCTGGTGGCGCCCAGAGTGAGCTGTTCTGGAAAGCAGATGTGTGCGACAAAAATGTCAACAGAGCATGGATTTGTTAGTCATGCTGACATTCTAATGTCAGCCTTAGCAAAGGTTTGGGTAGAAATATGATTTAAGACTTTTCTTGGCAGGGGAAGCTGTAAACAAACTCCAGGACTCTGGGACACTGCTTACCATCTTCAATGACGATCTTTAAGACTCGATATTGGTCTCCGCTCCTGGCATTGGCGAAGACATCCTTCACATCATTACCCGCTGAAAAAAAAAAAAAAAAAAAAAAAAAAAAAAAAAGACAGAGAAAGGGTCAGTCTCTGTTTTAAACACATGCTTGCTTGACAGCAACGCACTCCTGCTAATATGGCCATTTTAAGCCCTGGCTCCTACATTTACACCGAAAAGCTTCATAAATCTCAATAACCTGTGAAAACAACCAGATGTTAGATATTATATAAAGTACATACAATTATCCTGTCATGTCAATTTAATGACATATAGCCCATTACCAAGTATCTCTCATATTTTGCCTTTAAACACACTCTAAGGAACTCCTTGTTCCTATGTTGGAACAGCAGAAAAATTTTAATAAATAATATAATAATAAATCTTGTCTCCAACTCGCATTCAAACCAGCACCTTGACTATTTTAGCTGCAGTGACTCTGCAGTTTTTCCATTGTAACAACCCTGCAACAGCTGAGGAACAAGGCCAACAACAAATATATGTAAGACTGCAATATGATTACTAATTTCATTTTGATTATGCAGAAAGGTTGAACTGCAAAACTGTTTTCTATAACACAGACAGGAAAGTGTGATTAGAGACCATAACACATTTGTGGGTTTTGTGCATTCAAGAACTGTTATTCACTTTGATTTTTTTGCTACAGGTATAGTCTTGTCAACTATAGACAGGTACTGAGTATATAAATGGAATCAGTTTGTTTAGAATAGGCCCTGTATTAGGCTGTGCACAAATGTAAAAAAAAAAAAAAAAGATCAGGGTATTGAAAGATATAAAACCTTTAGTCTTCTTCAAAGTAACTTGACTCATTTTGACAGTTGAGTAAAACACACACAGGCTCAACTCATCTGATAATAAGTCTGATCAAAATCAAATGCACATGTAAGATGATTTAGACCAGTGTTGATCGGTGGCATGGAGTTAGTACGGACATTTACAATCGCTACATCTCCCTGTCTATTATTTACTCAGCTAAATTGCATACTGCCTTGCCCCAGGCTAAATAAAATTGTGGTTACAGACGTAAACAATTCTGCGGTGCTGCTGCCATATATAACAGGGCATCCCTCCCTACTGAGATTTACTTTTATAATTACACATTGCAGGTAATACCAGTGCTATTCTCATATTTATAAAACGCGACCGGTTTGCCAGGCCAGCAGTTTGTTTAAATGAAGGCGTCGCCCATCCATTCAGAGGGCTAAACTAACGTTACTGAATTTAAGCTCTATATAGCGCATAAAAGGCCTTTGTACAGTGAAAAGGGGACACAGCAGGTTTAGTTTAGCGGACCAGTAAACTGGCTAAAGACTGAGATTATCCTTCCTAGTCCTGAAAGTGCCCAAACAGGGCACCGCTGGTCACACACATCACGGTAGCTCAGAGCTAGCTAGGAGTGGCTAGCTCACTTGACGCTAGCTTCTCGTTGCAATGAATTGTTGCAGGTACTTCAAGCTCGTCCGGGAATCACGCACTCGCACAACAAAACACATAAACACAGAGAGACTGAAAGCAGACAAACGCATCTACCTTGAATGCCCGTTTGATGTGACATTGTGTCTGTCGTCGGATAAAGGGCTGATGCAGCTGATCAGGCGAAACCAGGGCAGAGAAGCAGGAAGTGGACTACATCGACAAGAGCCGCCCCAAATCCTTCGTCATCAACATCGAAATCACATGACTAATTTTCATTTGGATTATATCCATAAAAGTCAAGTGTTTAAAACGAAACCCTCTTTTTGTACATCTAAAAATGAAGCAGAGTCTTATATTAGATCATTATCAATTTGATGTAAAAGAAAAGCTGTGAAAATCTTAAATTCCAAATGTAGCAAATTAATATAATTTTACTTAATATATATATATATATACACACACAATTTGTTTAACATATTTTTTACTGTACCATTCTCAGTTTGTATTTAATTGTGTCAAGCTTTATATATAACCCATGGCGCTGTATATCTGTTATGTGTACACGTATAGCCATATATACATACACATATACCATTTCAGGTATAAGTCCTGCTTTTACTTTCAAGTAAAAGTCCTGTGTTCAAAAACATCTAAATCTGCAAAGTAACTGTAGCTGTGAGATAGAATAAGCTCAATATTTGCCTCTAAATTGCGGTGGAATAGAAATATAAATGGAAATGCTGGAAGTACAAGTACCTAAAAATTGCACTTAAGCACAGTATTTAAGTAAATGTATTGCACCAATGAAAAATAATACTACTACGACCAATATAATATAATATAATATATTAACACTTCAGTGTTAGTAAAAGCTTGATGTCTGTTTGGCCTGTATACGTTAAAATTATGGTATATTTATTGATTGACTCTTAGTATATTTAATTATAATTTCCCGTTCGATCAGGATTAAAGCAATTCACCCTGCTTTGTTTTTTTTTCATTTAGATTTTCCATTCTGATCAGGGATAACGGGGAGATTTCCGCCTTTCATGGTAGCAGATCCTATTTGGCGTGAAATCCTGCAACATCTGGAAGCCACCGGGCTTCCTGTCTCTGCTCTCTGTCCCTCCTCCTCTGGTTAGATAAAAAAAAAATGAAGGAATAGATTTTATAGCAGTAAAATCAGCTCCGCGTCAAGCACGGCAGACACAGGTGGAGTCATAGCGGAAATAATGTGAACCCATCTTCAGAATAAGGGTGTGTATCGTGTCCCTTAAAAAAAGATAAATTATAGTCCAGTGCTATTGCTAAAATTTGTATTTAAGCATTTATGACAGTTTATAGTTCAAATAATAGAAAACAAACAAAACATGCTAATCATATAGTTTAAACAAAACTCTCAGAGTTTTGATTGTTAGCCAAATGGATGTAGCTTACATATATTGTATTTGAAGTATTATGTAATCAGAGAAAGAAAAACTAAAAATTTGTAAATATTTGTATTTATATTTATATATAAATAAGATGTATTTTATTTTTTAAGAGCCATATTTAAATGTCCAATGAAATTATGATTATGTTATAAAAAAGTCAAACTTTTATAAGTAGTCAATGAGCCGTCTACAGAGACAGTCTTTGAAGTCCCTGGACCAGACATTTCAACAACAACATACAGGCACTGTACAGGAAATATTCCAAACAGTATAATTGATTTAAGGAATACAAAAAATGAAACCAACAATTTAGCCCACTGAAAATTATTTAAATTAAATATATTTTCAAAAAAGTGTATGTAATAATTTTCATTTTCTACTTAATAACATTTATATCTATTTGGATATATTCTAACAAAAACATTTTCTGCATTCATCGCGTTTTATTTTGAAAGGTATGGGCGGAAGCTTTGTATTTGTACTGGCTCTACCTTGGCGCTGGTGAATCAACGTGTTGGGCACATTGCGTTACACTGATGCCCCTGCTGTGTGGACCCAGAAATCTCCATCCTCTCCACCGCAGCAGCAGCAGCGTCCCATCCACAGCCCAGGAACTGCACCGTCCGGCGGGAACCCGCTGACGAAGCACCGCCTGGCTGAGCTATCCCGCCCGGCGCATGGACGGTCCAGCACAATGGCAGAGGATTTGGGGGTGCCTCTGTCGTATACCAACAACAGGTCGCATGGATAATCCCTCTACAACCCTCCCGTATCATCCAGTGTTTGGGATGATTAGAGCGCCGCTGTCGGCTTGATGTGGCAGGAGAGCCGTGCGGGAGCGGGGCTCGTCGTCCTGGCTGTCGACTGAGAGGAAAACGGCGTGGAGCAGGTGCGTTGATGATTTCATTTACCGCACATGCACAAATAATACCGAGGTGCGGGTTTGTGGGATTAGCACGAATTTTGACCGTACTCACAGGGTGCACCGACATCGAAGTTGTATAATTTGATCATTCCAGTCAAGCTTGTTGTGTTATCTCCGAGATACCTACGATCTGTGATGTGACATTTGGCGTCATCACTGTTGTGACATTAGAGAGGAAGTGAGTGGACCCAGATTTCTGTTCTTTAACGCGATAGTACATTCGGAAATTGCCAGAACTGGCACGAATAGTGGGGTCATTCAGTGTATTTCCTGTAGCTCTCAGAGACTGTTTACATTGGCCAGTCCAAATGTAATTTTTATGGTTTAGATCCAAGCCAGAGAGTTCAGAAGATGCACCATGAACAGGGGGATGAAATCACTGATCTTGCAAATTCTCCTCATTTGCATTTCCATCACTGTTTAAGTTATAGCCCATAGGCTGATGAGTTCTTTCTGTATTGAGTTTGCATGTTCCCCTCCTGTTTTTCCTTGGGGGTCCTTTGGAGGGTCCCTCTCCATGCATGTTAGGGACTCTCCTGCCACAGTCACTGGCCTCAAACTGGGAGCAGACCCCCCCCCCAATCACAGAGAAAGGTTTCCCACTCCTCTTAATGGTTGATATCCGCTAAACAGAGAAAGCTAATTCTGTATTTTAGCTGGATCATTAAGTGATCCTACCTCTAGCACCACCAGAGATGGCAGATGATGACAAGACAAACATACTGCTGGTGAAATTTAATAGCCACATGGTTGTTCCACTGTGGCAGCTCTATTTCTGAAGCCATTACATCATTTCAAATTCCCACTGTGGGGTATTTTAGGAAACGGTGTCAAAATAGGGAACTGGTTTGGGAAGTTCAGTCCAGCAAAGTCAGACCAGCCACACAGGGCCGAAGTGAGGGGGTTCAGAGAATAGTTGGGGGCAAAAACACAGAGGGCTGGACTGTCGAGAAGTTACTCAAGCGCTGCTTGGCAGGTGTTCCCGAGCAAAGCATCAGCGTAATGCTGCCACAGTTTTTTTGTGGGGAGCACAGAGCAGACAGGCTGAGAGGATAAGCCTTTTAAAAGCCAGCGCTTTACAGCTAAGCGCTTCAAGAATTTTACCTTATCCAGGTATGACACATACACCTCAGCTTGTTTTACTCACTGATGAAGAATTTAAAGCTTAAACTTCCATCTTTTGTGAGCTCAATGAACACATGAACTTTTCACCAATTTAACCAGTTTTCATGCTGCTGATTCTTTGCTGTGTTGGCATCACTAACTGGTCAGATCAGGAGCTCTCTGTCATGTTTGTGTGATAATCTTAGGGTTGATGGGAAAACCCGTCCTTACGCTTGGAAAGCTCCATGTAGGTGTGTTATTGGCACTGTCGCTGAACTATATGAGTTGTCTGAATTTAGCATAATCCCAATCTGTACCAAACCTCGGTGATATTACTAGCACTAATCTGAGTCTGAGAGATGTTTTCACTCTAATCTGCCCTTCTGATTTGAGTTTAATATAATCTGGATGAAAGAAGCACTTTCACTCTCTCTATTTCTCTCTCTCTCTCTCTCTCTCTCTCTCTCTCTCTCTCTCTCTCTCTCTCTCCCCCCCTGACTCCCAGGTGTAGTGTGGCTGGGGGGCTCAGCAGGATGGAAATAGATGCCCGTTTCCGCTACTATTTCCAGCATCCATGGTCGCGCCTCATCGTGGCCTACCTTGTCACCTTCTTTAACTTCCTCGTCTTTGCCGAGGACCCCGTCTCTCACAGTCAGACGGAGGCTCATATGATTGTGGTGGGCAACTGCTTCTCCTTCTTGTTCAACAAGTATCCTGGCCTCGGATGGAACATCCTGAAAGTAGTGTGCTGGATACTGGCCATCATCACTGGCCTGTTAGCCGGGAAGTTTATATTCCACCGCCAGCTCTTTGGTAAGTCATGCGCACAATAATGCAGAGGAATGTGCAGAGTAATGGCTCTACTGAGGGAGGGAGCCTTCTTCCTGACTTGTTTTTGTTGTGGATGGTCATCAGTGAGAAGCACCTTTTTACACCCATACTCCACTTCTTGTGAAGGAGATTGATATATCTCCATCACCAGCTCTCATCTTTGTATCTATGCTCCTGTGCTCATCCTTTCATGTTAAACTCTTCTCTGCTGCTCTTCTCACTTATCGTCAGATCTGGGTCAAACAGTATTTGCAAATCTCTACTGTATTTATTACTCTCTGGTTGAAGTGGGCTGCAGTAAATGATTTTTCTTGATTAATGCATTGGTTGATAAAATAGCCAAACAAATAGAGAAAACCACTGTTTTTTTAAAACCCATTTGATTGCTTGTTTTTTTGACCAACAGTTGAAAACCTAAAGAAAAATTCTGCCACAAAAGATTTCAGTTTGGGTTCAAGTAGATTGGTGAGGTTACTGTAGGATTTAAACTATTATAGGAAAAAATTAAAGTCAGTCAGTGCTGTACATTAGAGATGTATCAGCTCCGATGTGATCTGTTGCTTGTTTGAATGCTCATTAGCCTGGGGACTCTTAAATGAAACAGAGCCGTCTTTAACTCTGTTAGTTCCACCTGTGCTTTTCCTGCTCTGACAGATCAAGATGTCTGCAGTGAAAGTGGCCTGTTAGGAGTTATCGTGGCAGTAAAAGCGTGAGTAATAACACTAATGATTACCTGAGTTCAATTTAATTGTCCCGGTAAGCCAAGCCAGAGACCAATATGCAAAACGCAATAGCAGGAACATCATCAGGTGCATCATTAAAGGTCCCATATTGTAGGAAGTCATATTTCCATGTGTTTTGTGATCATATAGCAGGTCTAGGTGCTATATAAATACTGTAAAAGTATCAAGATGCTCAAGGCTGTATTCAGAAACTGTGCCTTTCGAGCCATCAGGACTTCCATAAATTTGTGATGTCACAACGATGCAGTTACTGCCTTCAGCCATGCCTCCAGCACGGCCTACCCAGACCCATTGTCCAACCTTCCTGTTTTTTCATACATATTGTTTTATGAGTTGCACTTGTCACACTGCCACCGGTAGAAGTTCCTACCATGCACCCGCCACCGGGTCTCATCTGCACATCCCATCCAAAACTCGCCCCTGCTGCCCAATCACCCACCTCCCATTCTCTCGTGGCTTGCATCGACACACACTGGCAGTGTACGAGTCCACCTGGAGGGTCTAGCTGCTGAGGAGAGAGAGTGGAGAGGACCACAACGCTGCAGCACCGCGGACGGTCTCCCAAGCGCCACCAGATGACCTGGGGGTTTAGACCAGAACCAGTCCCAAGGTGCCAGTGTGTAGCCCCACACCAAATCCAACTGGAGCATTTTAGTCCAAATTTGACCATCTGTTCAGCTGAGTGACCACTGCCACATGACTTTTACCAAGCCACAGTTAGAGGCTACAATTCGTTACCTGTGGTTGGCCTGGCTGTGCATCACTAAGAAAACTGTCAGCCAATCAGAAGAGAGGCTCAGAGTCAGACCTGTTCTTACTAGAGCTCCAGAGAGAGGCCTGCGAGAGATGTAAAACTACACTGAGATCATTTTTGTCACATAAAACCATAAATGTATCTTATGGATATCAAAGCTTCAAATAAAACATCAGAAAAGTGTAAAATATGGGACCTTTACTTAATGTTATGTAACTACACCTGTGCTTTTCTTGTCATGACACGTTATGACAAGTTGAGAATCTCTGCAGCACAACATTTATCACCTCTGTATGCTACATATTTTAGTCAGTGCTCATGCTGCTCACTTCCTTCACCTCTCACACCTCCTCGGTACATTTCCTCTTCTTTTTTCACCCACTTTCTATTTTTCTCACCTCTTCTCACAACATCGACCTTTTTTTCTCTCGTCACTGTCTTGCCTTTCCGTTTCACTCTCCCCTCATAAGGCTGAGACAGTAATCCCATCAGCTCTTCATTTGTTTCAACTGTGCAGCAGTTAGCAGTGCTTCCTATTCAACTCACACATGTCATTTCCTGCTAACAGCTCACTTAGGCCTGGATATTATTGGCTACCCTGGCTTATCATCTTGGCACGAACTATTAATGACTATAATTGGGGGGGGGGTCATCTTCTTTGACCATAAATAGAATGCGAAGAGTGCATGATGACTTTCTACAAATACAGAATCCTCAGTCAGAGGGGAAATGGAAAATGGCTTTGAGTACTGTGTTTTCCTGTACATGGTGGACAGTTTATGGATCTGATATTACCAGCTGTTCAACCTACTCAAGTAGCAATCGTTTAATTGAATTACTGTTTCCTTACTTAGGATCGGTGACAAAGTTTCCCTTCCTTTGGCTCAGGACCCCTACATGGAGCTACTTGATACTGTGCAGGGTCCTTGGAGATTTCTAGGACTGAGACAGAGATGTTAATATGATATGCTCTAAACAAAAATAGTTCTGAAATACAATATATCATCATTTTTATGTACACAATGTGAAGACAGAATACAGCGGAGTGTCATATTGAAATTTGCAAGACAACCTACATTGCTGGTGTCCCGAGCATTTGGGGACCTCAGAATGGTGGCGCCAGCTAGACAAGGTGGAGAAACACTGATCTGTGATGTCAATAAATATAAGCTCTAAGGGTTGGTTTGCCAAACTTTCACAAACAAAACATCTCATATACCATAGTGTTATCTATCCATGTGCATAGCTTTGTTTTGGTTTGACATCTTGGGAAATAAATGTTATTGCTGAGAGTTAGAAAAGATCGATACCACTCTGGTATCTGTCCATTACATATGAAGCTAAAACCAGGGGTGGGTTAGCTTAGCTTAGCATAAAGAAATGGGGGCGGAAAAGTAGTTGAGGCTACTACAACACTTCTAAATCTTATTAGTAACATGTCGTGTCGTGTTTGTTTAATCTGTACCTAAACGGAAATGTAAAACATCAAGTTTTGATATTATGGGGAGTTAGATGCTGTAACTATTTCTTAGTTGGGTGCAGTGACTTCCCAACAGGGCTAACTGACTAATGTTGCATTCATGACATATTGTTTAAACCATAATTTTGAGTAAGTAGTGGGAAGATTTATTCAAAACTCTCTCAAAGGTTTTTAAGATCCCTCTTGATCTCCCCTGACAGCATGATTGGAGTGGTTGTTGAAGAAACTAACCTTCCAAAATATAAATGCAATGCTATTGCCTTTAGCAGCTCTGATTGCTAGATGACTAATTCTTCTTAAGTGGAGGGGTGAGGCACCACCCACCAGTGCCACTGGATCAGAGCTCTAATGCAGTTTTTGCAATTAGAGTCGGATCCACTCTGAATCTACTGAAACTTCATAAGGCCTGACGGCCATTTGTCTCACACGTTTTATTTATTTTACTTCCCTTTCCCCCCTTTTTTTGTTTTTGGTTATTATCAGTAATATTATACATATTTAATTTATTCTGTATTTATTAAGTATTTATCATTCATGTACTTATGTTTTATTTATTTACTCATTTGTTTTCTTTTATGCTGTGGGGATGATATTTCATCTGTCATTTTGTCAGTTGGGGATTTCTGATACTGACGATATCTTCCACCTTGTGAAAAGAATTACAGACATATCAACAAAGTGTTGGTAGAATGGCTGCAAATACAGCACCACTGGCAGTTGCATCAAAATAAAATCTAATACAAACACAAAAACAATCAATTCATCTCATTTTATAGGAGCTAAAAACTGTGTTTGTATCTAGTTTCACTTGGAAAAGTAGCTAATTTAATGCTTTATCTGGTTTGACTACAGAGTTAACACAAGGGCTAGGGTACGCTAACAGAGCAACTACATAGGATGCATACATGCACAGCCCTCAGCCCTTAACAGTTTTCATAAGGACTATTTCTTCAGTAGAAAGTAGTTCCAGAAACAGATACTGATTTTGTAATTTAGGTATATGAACCCTTTTAAACTTTTTCACTTGTATTTATCTGCATCATTTTATTGTCACACTTTGCACACACAGAACACTCAATACAGTGCAAACTGTATAGCTTCAGTGTATTACTCAACCAACATTTTCTCATTTACACGACTCATAATAGTAAAGTAGGTCTATCATCACAGTGAGGTTTTACACTACAGCCAAGTGTATCTGGATTTGAGTCCATACACTTACATTGGCTCGAGGGTATGGAGGACAGAAAGAGTGCAGCTCGTCCTGCAGCCAGGTACAACTAATGCACTTCAACAGGCCTCCAAACAGATGGTTTGTGTTTCTGTGTGTGTGGGTGTGTGTGTGTGTGTGTGTTTGTAGGCGAGAGAGTGGTTATGTTCTGTGTGTGAATGTGTATTTGTGTGTGTGAGTGAACAGGGCCGTGTGTGTGTGTGTGTGTGTGTGTGTGTTTGTTGGCGAGAGAGTGGTTATGTTCTGTGTGTGAAGGTGTATTTGTGTGTGTGATTGAACAGGGCCGTGTGTGTGTGTGTGTGTGTGTGTGTGTACTGTTGGAGATGAGCATGTATGAAAGGATAGATGTGATACAGAGGGGAAAGAGAGGCTGATGTAGAGAGTTGGAGAGGCGAGTTGTGTCCTGCACAACATCTCAGTAAAGCACTTATGTAATCACAACCCAGGTAGAGCATAAGAACTCTAGTATAGAACGAGGCCCACTGTAAAATTTAGCATCTATTATAGATCTGTCACATATGGCCCACCTACTGCACATCACGTCTCTGCTAAAGCCCTGCGGATCTTTATCAGCTGTCTCTTCTTCTCTCTTGTATGTAGGCAGGCAGTGGGAACACTTCTGGATAGGAGCACAGTTCCTGCAAAGGCTTGAGTACCTGAAAAAAGCACTTAGGAATCACAGTCTGTGGCTGTTGAGATTTCTGGGGTAAAATTTTGAGAATATGTTTTCTGACGCCGTTTGACAAATGTAATACATTGCAAAACTGGAATAAT